CTTTGGTCTCTCTGGCTTTTGTTCTTGTTTTTGTTCCTTCAGTTCGGATAAAATTTGCTCACGAATTTCTTTCTTCAATGCTTCAACATCTATGACCCCTTGGGTCTTGTCCGTAGGGCTTGTCTGAGTCATTTGACTGCAGATAAAAACACAAATTAAAAACTTTAACCGATGTAAAATGAGCTTGTCAAAATCAGAGCGAGAGTCTATTATATTAAATGACGCAAGAGGAATACAACATCCTTTCTATTACGTAAGTCAGAGTAAAGATGGTAAAATATACGTAAGAAAAAAAGGTTCCATTAGCGAATGCAGAAAAGCGACAACATTAAGGTGTATGGCAAGGGTGAAGTCCACGAAGCCCATATAAAACCTTCTGTTCAAACTGAAAAGTCAATAGAACAAGAAGAAAAGAAGCCAGATGTACTTTCAATAACGAACCAAGAGCTTATTGCAAAGTTCGTGAATTTCATTGAAAACAAACCGAGTCAAAGAACCCTGACCCACCAGTGAAAGAAGTTGAGACAAAAGAGAATGTACAGTTCATTGAAAATGTCAAGAAACAACTTCCACCACGAATGCCAAGAAGAAGAGTGAGAATAATGAAGTAAATAGATATTTTTATCTGAAGTAAATACATGCAGAACGAACAGCTAAACGAATTTACTCCAGCAGAGCATATTCATCAGATTCGCTCATATTTCGATATCATAGACAATGCAGTTCAAATTGGTGACACTAATAGAAAATATTCTGACGCAAAGATTCCATCACAACCTGGAACTGCTAAAGATAACACATGGGTAACATTCAATCTCTCACCTCCTGGTGAAAATATGTTGGACCTTTACAATACATTCATTACGTATAAAATGGAAGGTCAATTTATTGTAGATAAAGAAATTGGTTCAGGTTCCAATAAAACAAACCACCAGGATTTTGGATTGGTTTCGATGACGCTTTCTATGCAGTTGCTGGATATCAAATCCTTGCAAATGGTCGTATCGTATATTCTCAAGACAACGCAAGAGAAGAAGCATATATAACTTCAAACTCACAAACTACCGAACAAATAAAGAAAGTAGATGTTTTCTCAAAGACTCGACATGAAGATGTATGGAGTCATTCGGGAACATGCAGAACAGGACAAATTGTTAGTGGTCCAAATTACAGCAGGAAAATCATTTGATTTTAAGCTTCGTTTAAGAATTCCTGTTAGAAGATTCCTTCCATTAGAAGCTATTCGATTTATTCCAGCTTTTGCAGGAAACATTCAGCTTAAAGTAAAGTTCAGTAGCGACGCCTTACAATGCACATCTATATCTGTAAATGATATCATTGCTTTCAATCCAACTCTTAAAGTTGCATTTGCTTCAGATTCAAATCCACCGACAAATAAATTTGTTCCATGGAATGAACCATTCACTATGATAACGAAGGCAGTAGAATCTAGTGGAACAGTTACTATTACAACTGTAACCCAGCAACTATTTCGAACAAAGATGGATTTTAATGAATGTTTCATTCATCCAAAGTCATTCTCTTTAGACCCTAACATTTATACAGAACTTGTAGAACATTATACAAACGAGGCTTTATGTTTTCCTGTTAAAGTTATGGATTGGATTCCTATGGACGGTTCATTCTCAAAGAATACAGATAGTTCAAGTGCAACATTTACAGCAGCTTATATGCCTATTAATGTTAAAAGTATTTGGGCACTATTTAGAAAGAAAGACAACTATTATGTTAATTTTGAGAACCCTAAGTTTAAATATCTTCAGCTTTCCATGGGAGCTTATGGAAATATGCCTGCAGAACCTGAAAAATCATATGGACCTGTATTTTATGAAATGGTTGCGAACGCCTGCAATACAAACAATGATATGATAGGATTTAATGAAGATGTTATGAGGTCATTGGTGGATGATGGTAGTGTGGAACATAAATGGATAGCTATGACAACACACATTTCTTATGTGGTTTTCCAACAGAAGTGGACTTTTGCTTCCAGCAAGGTCAAACATCTACTGCTCCAATAACATACAAATTGTCTGTTAAAGGACCTATTGAACTAGCAACTGAAACGTACCAAAGCCACTTATTGGATTTATGAGGGATTGTTGCTTTGCCATTCAGGTGCGTGCTAATGGAATCCCAATAATAAGATTAGATGACTATAACTTAGCTACGGACGATGGTGAGGAATAAAGGATGAACGTTTATTTTTAAAGCTTATAAATGAGTTCTTCATCAAGCTCTCGTGAACCTTCACCATCTATGAAACAAACTTTACCAAACGATTATGGAGCACCTATTGAATATTTCTTACGAGCTGCACAATGGCAAAGAGCAGTCTCACCAAGGTTAGGTGTTCCACCAGCTCCTGTCAAAAATAGCATTTGGTCAAGTCCTTATATAAGATATGGTCTCCACTAGGTTTGCTAGCTACAGCAGGAGCAGTTATGATGTTGAAAAGAAATAAAGCAAATGTTGTAAATAATACTGAAGTAGCTGAAGTTAAACAAACTCCAACACCTTCGCCAAAACCAACACCTTCAATGACTCCTGAACCTATGGAAGTACAAACTCCTGTTCAAAAGTCAACTCCAAAACCGACTCCAACATTTAAACCAGAACCTACTCCTCAAATAAATCGTAAAACTCCTGCGTTTCCTTACTGAAAAAATAACGTTATTTTTATTTAATATTAAAATTTTTATTTGATTGAAATGACAAATAAAGTCACTGAAGCAATGAAACAAAAGTTTTTGGTAGAATACATTAAATCAGGAACTATTCCAGAAGGTTTTTACATTCATACTATGAAGGATGGTAGAGTTCAGTTTAGAAAGATAAAGCAACCATTAGATAAAGAAGGAATTTTGAGAAAGATTAAACTTCATGAGGACAACATTGCTGAACTTAAGAAGAAGTTAGAAGAGTTGGAGAAAGGAAGAGAGTTATAAAGCAATGAATTCAACAGGGTGAGAAAAGAGGTGAAAAAAGAGGTGAGATCTCACCTCTTCACCTAAAATATATTTTTGTGCTATATTTTCATACGTGTGAGGGTGGTGATATCATTAATTTTTAAGTTTATTTTTTATTTTATTTTTATTTTATTTTTATATAAATGACGAAAACTATTGAGATAACAAACTACAACAGTCATGAGTTCAAGAATTTGTTCTTCGTTCCTCGTGAAAATACATTCTATCAGATACGAGGGAGAAAGGGTAAAGTTAGTTTGAGCGTTTATGACTACAAGCATAATGGAAAGTTTATACAAGCAATAGATACAAACGGTAAGCGTGTTTCATTAGCTTTGTCAAAACTTACTAACATTTATTTTGACAGTGATTTTGACCTATATGAAGAAGAAAGTGAGTCAGAAGATTATGAGCTGTTATGTGAAGCACAGCAATGGGAGGAGTTGCAATACTTTTGTAAGTGAGAACGTTTATTTTTTACATTAGTGAAGTTGTTTGTGAAAACGTTAGTGAAGTGGTTGGCGGCTTTGTAAATATTTAAGGTTAAGTTAGTGTTGTCGTTTGTGTTGTAAAATATACGTTAACGGTTTTGTAAAGTGTCAAATTCACATATAATGGGTAAGGAGGCGCGCAGTGCCGCCGTACCCTTGATATGTTTACTAACTAACAGATATTAGACGCAAGGCTGAAAATCATCAGTATAAAAACAGTTCTGAAGTAATTGAGGATTTATCACGTGTAATCCGTTTCGTAGATTGTGGAAATAAATATTTCATTCAAAAGGACTATAATATCCACGACAAAATGAATCAAATGTCATTCGTTCTTCAATCAAACATGAAAGAGTCACTTAAAATGATTAAATTATTTAATGAAGAAGGTAAAACAATAACAGCATGGGATGTACTACTAAATCAATTGTCTTCATTAACCGTTAAAGGTGTTTGCTTTAAATCTAATTCTCCAGATGTTTTCTCAACGTTTCAAGGTTATAAATACAACATTCTCGAAAAGCTTGATTACTCAAAAATTGAAATGTTTATGGATTTCATTAAAGAAGTCATTTGTGATAATAACGATGAAGTGTATAAATACCTTCTCGGCTGGATTGCATCAATGATTCAACATCCTGGAATCAAGAATGAAACAGCAATTATTTTGAAAGGACTTCAGGGAACAGGTAAAAACAGATTTACAGACATTATTTCTGAACTTCTCGCTGGTTATTCATGTAAAAACATTACTGAAATAAGTGAGCTAACGGGTAATTTCAATTCAGTAGTTGAGAATAAAATGTTTCTTGTACTTAATGAACTCAAGAATGTAGGTGAAGACAGACTCGCAAACTTCAACGCTTTGAAATCAATTATAACGGATAATGAGATTAGAATTAATGAAAAGAATCAACCCAGAAGAACAGCTCAGAATGTTGCAAACTTCATTTTCGTAACTAATAACGTTTACCCTGTCAAAATTGAAGTTGGAGACAGAAGATATGTAGTTTTAAGAGTTAATGGTAAATTTAAGGGTCAATTTGATTATTTCAAGAATTTGATGAATTCATGCACTAAGGAATTTTATGATAACCTTTTAACATATTTTATCAATTACGACCTTTCATCATTTAATGTACGAATCATACCGATGACTGAAGCCAAACAAGATTTAATTGAATTATCATCAAATCCTTTAGATGTATGGATAAATACACATTATGATGAATTGTGTGTAGGTATGACATGTAAAAATGCTCTATTCTGCAAACCATCAGACATGAAAGACAAGAATTTTCAAATGAGTATTAAAGATAAATGTGATAAGAAACAGAGAAGAATAGATGGTAAACAAACATGGTGTTATGTTTTGAAAGAAGAAATGAAAGGATTATATAAACAGGTTGAACCAAACGATAATGAGGATTCATTTACTGATGATGAAATACCTGTAAATGAAGCTTTATAAAGTATGATTGGAATTTATTTTTGCATTAATCCCCACTATGTTGTCAAAATGTTATGTTGTCTCATTTTTTCAGAGAAGTTAAATAACCGAGTGACACATGGTGACGTAGTGACACCTTCAGTTCTTCAAAAATACTTCATAAGTGCCTTCCTCATTAATCCCCACTATGTTGTCAAAATGTCATGTTGTCTCATTTTTTCAGAGAAGTTAAATAACCGAGTGACACATGGTGACGTAGTGACACCTTCAGTTCTTCAAAAATACTTCATAAGTGCCTTCCTCATTAATCCCCACTATGTTGTCAAAATGTTATGTTGTCTCATTTTTTCAGAGAAGTTAAATAACCGAGTGACACATGGTGACGTAGTGACACCTTCAGTTCTTCAAAAATACTTCATAAGTGCCTTCCTCATTAATCCCCACTATGTTGTCAAAATGTCATGTTGTCTCATTTTTTCAGAGAAGTTAAATAACCGAGTGACACATGGTGACGTAGTGACACCTTCAGTTCTTCAAAAATACTTCATAAGTGCCTTCCTCATTAATCCCCACTATGTTGTCAAAATGTCATGTTGTCTCATTTTTTCAGAGAAGTTAAATAACCGAGTGACACATGGTGACGTAGTGACACCTTCAGTTCTTCAAAAATACTTCATAAGTGCCTTCCTCATTAATCCCCACTATGTTGTCAAAATGTCATGTTGTCTCATTTTTTCAGAGAAGTTAAATAACCGAGTGACACATGGTGACGTAGTGACACCTTCAGTTCTTCAAAAATAAATAATTATTGAATAACCTAAAATCATTAATGATAACATAACTGATAACAAAATTTTATATAAATGGATACCCCACAAGCTCAAAATTTACCACGAATCATAACAAGGGAGGAAATGATAAAAATGATGCAAGAACAAATTAAAAACAACAAACCACGAAAACCGAGAAGATGAGGAATAAAAATTAAATTTGGATTGAGTTTAAAAATTCATCTTTATTAAATTCATCTCTTCCAATCAATTTATTTATTCTATTAAATTCTTTTATTTTTGCTTCACTCAGTTTAAGGATTGAACGGTAAGTTTTTAATTTTTCGATTATTTCTTTCCTCTCTTGATCGTTTTCAACCCCACCACATTGCGGCTTTTTTTGTAATAGCATATTTTTGATTTAATTCTGTTTAGTTTCTTTTTATATTCATCGTCCGGACTCTTGGTTGTTGCTCGTTGTCACTCATTTCTTACGAAATAAAAAAAATTAAATAATATTTAAATATAATGGAGTAATAAAATAAATCGGAATTTCTATTAATTTATTGTTAACCTCAACTAATGCATTGCCGTTAATATATCTAACAAATTCAGCTATTGTGTCAAATCTTCGTCTTCTTTTTGTCATTGATTTATCAGTTTTTCCATAATCGAGATGAATCAAAACTTTATTCCCTTGTTTAAAATTCATGAGCCCCGAATTAATTTGTTCACGTTTAACATCATTTAACCTTTCCATTTGTTTTCTAATATAGGGTGTCCAAAGGTGCGTTTAGCACAGCGCTCTATATGAGACTATTAAAGGAGATATATGCTGATTATAAATATATAATAAAAAATATGAATATATGTATATGATGAGTATGTTGTATTTTGGCGCCATGCCGGGATATAAAATGAATTTTGAGACAAGAGGCGGTTTCGCGGGAAATTTTGGCGGGATTTTTTTCATTTTTTTAATGAATCATAAAGAAAACATCCTCGCTCTTGCAAAAAAATGCAAAGACTGTAAAAAAATCTACGAGACATTGGTAAAATGTTTCGGTATGGATGCTCCTAGCTATTCCACTGTAACGTATCATTTAGGATGTATCACTTCATGAACAAAAAGGCGCCCATCATAAAAATTGACAAAAAATCGCCGGATCAAAGAAAAATCAAAGCAATTCTTCAAGCGCTAGATGAAGACCCAAGAGCATCACTCAGAAGGATAGAGGAGATGACAAAGATACCACGTACAACAGTCAGTTATTATCTGCACAATTATTTGAACTACAAACTAGCGTATACACGTTGGGTTCCGCACAACCTTAATTCAGTTCAAAAAAAATCTAGAGTCCAATCTTCGAAAGAGCTCCTCTCTATATTGGGTGCGTATCAATCCAAGAAGTTTCGCTTTTTAGTAACAGGGACGAGTCTTGGTTTCAATATGCAACAGAAGCCAAAATCATGTGGATCCCGAAGGATGAAAATCCGCAAACATTCCCGAAGAAAAAAATTGACACACCAATGATGATGTTGTCGGTTTTTTGGGGCGTGAATGGCATCATCGCAATTGATATTCTTCAAAAACCTAATACGATGAATGCTCAGTATCTAATTGACAATGTTCTTACTCAAATTATCAATTCTGATGAGTTTGAGAAATCCAAACAACAAAAACAAAAGTTTGCAATTCATTTTGATAATTCAAGAGTTCACAAAAGTCATAAGGTAATGAATTACTTGGTGGAAAACAATGTCAAAGTTGTTCCAAACCCAATTTATTCACCTGATATTGCACCCTCTGACTTTTATTTATTCGGCACGCTAAAAAAGAGAGCTGAAGGACGCGAATTCGCGAGTCCAGATGATCTTGAAAATTTTGTAAGAGAGCAATTTGAGCAATTTTCTCATGATGATTTAAAGCGTGTCTTTCAAGCCTGGATCGATCGCTGCGAACGCGTGATTGAATCCAATGGTGATTATATTTAAATAAACTTTATATATATGTAACTTGTTTATTTCTATTCGCAGTATTCAGGTTTGTGCTAAACACACCTTTGGACACCCTATATATTCCCATTCTTTTGAAATATCATTTTTCATTTCCACCGGTTTCATGTTTATAGTTCTATGCCATGTATTATTGTAATAATATACTAACTGCTGTATGATGGAGTCATGATTTCCATCCCAGTATATCTGACCGTTAACCCCTAACGCATCTCTAAGAGTTCTCATTACTGCATCAACTATTTTATTATGAAACGTATATGGAGAGGATGAAAAGTAAAAATTAATTTGTGGGAAATAATGAGCCATAGCTGCCTGAAATCCTTTATCACCATCACCCCTTATATTATCTACTCTTTCATGATCTAGTAAGTATTGTATAGCTCTTCTTGTTTCCTGTTCTGTTTTCCCTTTCACCGGAATGCAATATAAATATCTAGTGTTAATGTTAATGGCGAATAAATAAGTAACGTTTCCTTTTGAATATTCTAAATGATCGATTTCGTATGAATATGGATATGGTGCAAATGAAGGGCGACCAAATTTTTCCTTTAACGGTTGAATTTTTGGGTCAATTGGTTTATTTAATATCTTGAAATCCTTTTTAAAATCTTTTTGCTTCTTTAATGTTTGAAATGGATATAATAAAGTGAATGATGAAGGATTAACTGAAGGAGGAGGAGGTACTACTGTTGGAGGTTTTGGTGTTGCAAGTGGTTTAATTTTATCTGCTTTGATTTTGGATGATGAAGTTTTGGAATTCATTCCTCCTTTCATTAATTCTGGATGTATTCTATTCATTTGTTTTAAATATGCTGTATATAAAGGTTTGATATACTTTCCCACTTCGAGTTTATGTTGAAGGATGAATTCCAAAAGTTGATCTTCATTTAAAAGTCGGGCTGAATGTGGTTTAACTAATGAATCATAAATTAAAGCTTGTGCATCATTTATGGTCTGAATGACCCGGGCGTTTTGCACCTTTGTTTTTTGCGGCTCAGGATTATATAAATTATATAATTCATCAATATCTTCTTCTGTTAATACTTTATTTTTGAAATCTTTCAATTGTTTAAGTTGTGATTTAGTTTTTCCCTTTATATATTCATTATTTTTAATTTTGTCTTTAATTTTAGAAATTATTTTATCATGATATTTCAAAATTTCATTTTTATAATATGGATAATAATATTCCATATCATCACCCGTTATATTTTCATCATATTTTTGGAGATATGATTTTAATTCATAATAATTAAGAAAATTTTGATTAAATACTAAATCATCAATTAAATTTTTTAAATCTGCGTTATTCATTTATATAAAAATAAAATAAATGTTTAAGGGTGCTCACCTCTTTGATCAAGAATCAAAACCATCATTAACAGTTCCTTTTGTCTCTTTTGTGGCATTTTATTAAAAATAAAATTTCAAATTGTATTAAATAAATGGCATACAACATCCATTTTCACAACATACAGCCTTAGTGTGTGCTCCTGTTAATGCAGTCTTACCGATTGTTAAGCGAGTCATTGTCCCGTTTTTAAGTTGTAAATTAATATTTTGACCATCAAATATCACTTTATCATTTATTATATCCAAATAATTTTTAGGTGTTAATTGTTTATTTTGTCGTAAACTAACACCTTTCATTTTTTGTGCAATCTTTTTAAAATCACTTCCATCAATTGAACCGTTGAATGATGTATAACACTTAGGGCATAAAGCAACCATGTTATCACCTTGTTTCTCAATTGCTAAACCCAATAACTTCTTCTCATGTGCTTTTTCTTCAACTTTATTCTTTAATTTAGGTTTAAATTTCTCATCAAAACAGAAGAAATCAAATGGTGCGAATTTGAAAATGTTTTTATCATAAAATTGTTCATCGGTTACAATCGCCTGAAATGCTTGAGTGTTAGGAAGATTTGGGTCGCCAGCGATTGCCCAATAAGATGAATCAGTATCACCTTCAATGAAATGAAAACGATTAACATTCATGCATTTATACATAAAATCATAAATGAAAACCAAATACCAGTATTTAGCATTATCTAAAGTGAAGAATGCCTCTTGTAAACATGTTTCACATCTATAAAATCTATCTTTGAGCATCACTTGATACGTATCCTCACCTATTTCTCTTATGTTTTTAAACTTATTTGGCATACATGCAACGCGTGCCTTCTGTGTATTCATTATTTTAGTCTTTGCGTAATTTTGTGTATTCATTGCATCGTAACCATATGATCCATTAAGTGAAATCTTGCAAAATAAACTTTTTCCTTTATTTCCTTCTAATTCAGCCTTTTGTCTTTCGTTCATAAATTCGTTCGCAAATTCATTAAAACAAGTGTTTTTAGTAAATGTTAAAATTGATTGAATGTCATCGATGATAAAATGAAATCTGTCTATTAGATACCAAAGATAATAAGAAGAAAATGGTTGATATTGGTTGTGTGTTGATGCTAACTGAGTTAATTTTCTCTGTTTCTGGTCAACTGGTAGATTGTTTGATTTCATGTAATTATACATAAAACTGCCAATTGTTTTTTCATCTGTGATAATATCTAAGTTTCTTATTATCGGTAAAAAGTTTATGTAATCATTAATGTATTTTTCATCAATGTGACCCTTTACTTCAGCCACGAATAAAGTATTTTTATTTCTAATAATTCCCAATGCTTTTGCTTTCTTTGTTGCTGTATCACAAATGATAACACCATTCAATCTTCCCGGCATATACATTTTATGGTCAGTATATTGAATGAAATCATAAGGATTAGATGAAAATGATGAAGGATATAATGAATTAAAATCAACACCAACGAAATGAGTCATGATGTTGGTAGTGTCCTCATTTGATACAATTTTAGTTTCTAGATTATATGAAAGTTTATTAATGTGCGTGATTCCTTTAAGATTTACTCTATGTTGAACATTTGATAGACCACCAGTAATTCCATTACGGAGAATGTGATAAGCTTCAACTGAATCTAAAGTCATTGGTAAATTATATTTTAATGCATAATTTCTTAAATTGATTCTTAAACGTTGAACATCTTCATCTTTATTTGATTTTATGACATTGCAATAACAACACATTAACCGACAATTTTCTTTGGTATGTGGTTTTTCATTATCGATTCTATCTAATGTTGGTTTATTTGCATATGTAAACGCTTTACCACACATTTTGCATTTAGATGAAAGGATTAAATCGTGATAGTATTGAAAATCATCCATTGAAACATTATTTTTACTATCCCTTTCTGCTTTTTCATCTTGTTTCTTATATGATTCAATTTTATATTTCCAATACTTTTTCGTTAATTCAAAACTTGATTCTATCTCTTCCTCAGGATATTTTTCATTAGGATTAAAGTCTTTATATGCTAAAGCGTAACGAATCATTGAAGCATTCGATGATAAAGAAAGATTATGAAGCATATCAATTTTATAAACAAATGTTTCTTCAATAATTTTATCGATTGGGTCAATCATAATTTCAACATCTTTATTGCAATAATGAATAAAATATTCTAATCTATTCTTAAAATTTTTAGCATCATTGAGATATATTTGATAATCACTATCTGATATAGTTTCTTGGGTTAATACCGAATAAAATGAATTTTTCGTGAATGGTTCCACTTTATATAATTCTTCTTCGTAATTCTCCCATGTGATGAATTGATAAGGGAAAAAGGATTTAACACGTGATTTATTGTTTCCGAAATCTTGAGTGAATTGGTCTAATGTCCCACCCGCTATATAATTTCTGATGTCAATAAATCTCAATTCATATGGAACGTTTGTTTTCTTTACAATGATTTGCTTAAATTGTGAAGATGAACCCAGCATTGATTTTATTTTCCATTTTGCAGTGTTTAAATCATGAAGAATTAAATTTAAATCAAACTTTCCCGAATTAAAACCTATGATATTCACTTTATTGAATTCTTCATCTAGAAGTTCTTTAAATGCTTCCTTCTGTTTTTCATTTAATGTATGAGACAAAGTCCCCACCGTTTGCGGCTTCAATAATTCATTGTATTGTTCAATATTTGATTTAGCAACTAATGAACAGGTTGAAAATAAAAACTCAATCCAATCAGAAATAAAAGAATCACTCGAAGTTAAGCAAAAATTCCTCGTATATGTTTTATCATTTAATTTAACCGTTGATGATACCATGAATGGTTTTAAGTAAGCGTTCAAAGTTGCACACTCAGAAAGTTGTAATTCTTCTTTAGTCTCTAATGTTTCAAAGTCAAAAGTAATATAATATCTTGTCGGTTGATAATATTCCTGCAAATTATGAGCTAATAACCACTGATATATCTTTTGTTTCGTAATATGTGGTGCATATGGTTGCTGGGTCTTTTGCAATTGAACGTCTTGAATTAATCTCCCATTATTTTCTTTACATTTCTCACAATGCTTTAAAAATCTTCTTTGGTTTTTCCTTTCTGGATCATCGCGGATAGAATAAACTTCTTCTTTACAATATGGACAAACTTTATAGCCGGTGAGTGCTTCAACGTCTGTTATTCTGTCAGCGTGAAGTTTTCCACATGGACTCTGTGTTAATAAAATATTTACTGTTTCAAATTCTGGATCTATCATTATTGATTCCACTAATGGAAAGTCTACCTTATTTATGTCCACGTCTTCTGGTTGAGGATCACAATAATAGAAATCAATATTAACATTTAACATTCTCGCTAATCTCTCACTTTCTGATGAAATGTCAAACCCTTCATATGCATCTATTGCTTCATTTAAATAGCTTCTACGAGTTTTAGGATTAACACCATCAGGAATGTTATAGAAGCGTTTAAATAACCTTCTACCTTCTGCTCTAATTTGATTATCATTCATTTTAGCTGTTCCGTTTTTGTTCATTTATGTAAGAAAAAAAAATTAAAAAATAAATAAAAATAAAGTTTATTTTTTAAAGCCCATAAAATGAATTAAGAACACATAAATTTTTATCATCTGCGACGTGACGAATACATTTTAATTTACTCAAGAATGTATACCCTGATACATTAAATTTAATTCCTGTCTTATTTAATTTCACAACTTTGAAAAGGAATGTATGAATAGCTATAAAATGATGAGAAGATGTTTTATGGGTTGCTTCCATTTTTTCTGAAATAAATGAATAAATATAATGTTTATAAGTTTTCATATCTTTTATGTTCTTAATAACGAATGGTATAGACCTTTCAACTTCATCTTCCTTCGGTGCTGTTCTTTCATATGAAACATTATTGGTATCTTCAATAATGAAACCACAATCACACAAAATTTTATAGGTTCCAATGGTTTCTTTTGATATTTTATCTAATAAATCAAAAACTTTATCAACACCCGTGCATTTATTTAAATAATAATTTATGTAAATATCATGATCTTCTTTCTTAATCGTATTAGTTGCATATGTCACGTTTTTAAGAGCTTTTTTGAATTTTTTGGAATCTAAAGGTGGTGAAAGTAGGATACAGGGGTATTCTTCATTATCAATAAATTGTAACTTATGTTTACGAATAAATTTAGTTCCTTCTTCTGAAAGTGTTTCATCTATTTCACCATCTAATAAATTTTGTGTTGATTCTGAGACATAATTTTTATATCTTTCTTCATGAGATTTCTGAACTTCTGATTCTGAAGCTGGGATATTCATTAAACCCTCTACTTCATTTTCATTATATTTTTCAACTTCTCTTAATTCCTTAATTTTTTCATCTATTTCATCTCTTATTTTTTCCAGTCTTTCAATTTCATCATATTCATCATCTTTAATCCGTTCTTCATAATATTCAGGGAAAACATCAGGTTCTTTAGGTTTTTCTTTTTTAGAAGTGGGATATAAGAAATTTATAACATCATCTTTATTCATTTTTCCATCATAATCAAACTCATTTAAAAACTCCGTAAATTTTTGACAATTTCTTAAATAATATTTATCAACCTCATAACCCGCCTCCTCTAATATATCCTTTATTTCCTCATTTGTGAATCCCAATTTTTTAACGTTGTTAGTTTTGACACTCATTTCATACAAAATAAAAAATAAAATATTCAAAAATGTAAGACATGAATCAAATAATTGATTTCATAAATTCAAATAATCATTAGTTTCTTAAAGTTCAATGTTGAACTCATCAAATTCTTCTTCATCATCATTATCTTTAGCGAGTTTAATTACTCTTTCAACTCTATCTTTTGATAGTCTTGCGTTTAATTTTTTCTGAAGTTTTTCGTTACCAAGTTCTAAAATTTTACATGGATGATATTTAAACCTGTTAAATTCTTTTTCCTCAGTTTTAATCATTAATCTACAAAGAACTTTAGTGAGGTGATTTTGTTGTTTAAACCATTTATCATTAATATTTGTTATAAATTCAATATCCGGAATTAATTCCCAAATTTTTGAATTTTCGATTAATTTACCATCAAATGCAAAAGCAATAGGTTTAATATTAAACTTACCTTTATAAAATAAACTTTCTATGTAATCATCAAAATAAACGTCTACTTGTTTAACCTGGGTGAGAATTGGTGAAAGTTTATCCATTAATTGATTCACAGTCACGAATCTTGTTCCGTTCATTTCTTACAAAATAAAAAATAAAATAATAAACATAACTAAGTTTTAATTTTTCGTAAGAAGTTTATTTTAAAATTAATGTTAATTTTTTTAATGTGTTTATTACATCATTTATGGGCTGAGTGTAAATGTCTTACAATTTTGAACATTTTTTTAAATCTTGATTTATTCAAAAACGTAAGAATAAAAACCGTAAGAATCATACATTTTTTACTTCATATGTAAAAAAAATGATACAAAATCGTTCAATATTGTATGAATTCTTACGTTTACAAAAAAAGTCACACAACCCGTACTCATATACTACTTTTCTATTAAATGGTTTATATCTATGAAATAAGAGATTACAATTGAGAAATGTAGTTCAAAAAAGATTACACTATCGGATTCAGTCTTAAAAAGCATTCAGGTAATTCATAAATAATCAAAAAATGGAAAACAAATAGTTTATATATATAAGAGTTTTGGAACAAAGTCTTCAAAGACTCTCTCAAGTAGTCTTTGAAGACTTTCTTTTTCAATCAAATACTGATTGAAGACTTAGTTTCACATTTGAAGTATTTGTACGGATTTTGTATCTCATGATACTAATAAAGGAATGAGTTTGAATAAAAAAAGTGGCATTTAGTTTACTATTTCTTTTTCAATATAAAATAATTATATCGGAAAAAGAATTATTAGATATTTGTAGCACCATGTTCAACTAAGAAAGTGATAATACTTGTTGCTTTAATTTTGGTAGCAATACCAAGAGGGCATTCATTAATATCGAAAGGATTTCATAAAATAATGATAAATATGAAGAGAAAGATAATGTTATAATACGATGATAAATATGAAAAGAAAGAGAATACCATAAAACAATGATAAATATTTAAAAAAGGATAATGTAATAAAACAATGATAAATATGAAAAGAAAGATAATGTAATAAAATAATGATAAATATGAAAATAAAGATAATGTTATAAAACAATGATAAATATGAAAAGAAAGATAATGTCATAAAACAATGAAAAATATGAAGAGAAAGAGAATTCTATCAAACAATGATAAATATGAAAAGAAAGAGAATAAGTTTCATGTTAACATCTGCACCATGTTCAACTAGGAATTGAACAATTTCTATTGAATTCGATTTGATTGCAATACTAAGGGGGCATTCATTAATATCGAAAGAATTTGATAAAACAATGATAAATATGAAAAGAAAGAAAATGTAATATAACAATAATAAATATGAAAAGAAAGATAATGTAATATAACAATAATAAATATGAAAAGAAAGAGAATTCTATCAAACAATGATAAATATGAAAAGAAAGATAATGTAATATAACAATAATAAATATGAAAAGAAAGATAATGTAATATAACAATAATAAATATGAAAAGAAAGAGAATTCTATCAAACAATGATAAATATGAAAAGAAAGATAATGTCATAAAACAATGAAAAATATGAAGAGAAAGAGAATTCTATCAAACAATGATAAATATGAAAAGAGAGAGAATAAGTTTCATGTTAACATCTGCACCATGTTCAACTAGGAATTGAACAATTTCTATTGAATTCGATTTGATTGCAATACTAAGGGGGCATTCATTAATATCGAAAGAATTTGATAAAACAATGATAAATATGAAAAGAAAGAAAATGTAATATAACAATAATAAATATGAAAAGAAAGATAATGTAATATAACAATGAAAAATATGAAAAGAAAGAGAATTCTATCAAACAATGATAAATATGAAAAGAAAGATAATGTAATATAACAATAATAAATATGAAGAGAAAGAGAATTCTATAAAATAATGATAAATATGAAAAGAAAGAGAATAAGTTTCATGTTAACATCTGCACCATGTTCAACTAGGAATTGAACAATTTCTATTGAATTTGATTTGATTGCAATACTAAGGGGGCATTCATTAATATCGAAAGAATTTGATAAAACAATGATAAATATGAAAAGAAAGAAAATGTAATATAACAATAATAAATATGAAAAGAAAGATAATGTAATATAACAATGAAAAATATGAAGAGAAAGAGAATTCTATCAAACAATGATAAATATGAAAAGAGAGAGAATAAGTTTCATGTTAACATCTGCACCATGTTCAACTAGGAATTGAACAATTTCTATTGAATTCGATTTGATTGCAATACTAAGGGGGCATTCATTAATATCGAAAGAATTTGATAAAACAATGATAAATATGAAAAGAAAGATAATGTCATAAAACAATGATAAATATGAAAAGAAAGATAATGTCATAAAACAATGATAAATATGAAAAGAAAGAGAATAAGTTTCATGTTAACATCTGCACCATGTTCAACTAGGAATTGAACAATTTCTATTGAATTCGATTTGATTGCAATACTAAGGGGGCATTCATTAATATCGAAAGAATTTGATAAAACAATGATAAATATGAAAAGAAAGAAAATGTAATATAACAATGATAAATATGAAAAGAAAAATAATTTCATAAAACAATGATAAATATGAAAAGAAATATATCATAAATTTTGTTGATATCTTCTCCATTAGAAAGTAAATAAGATGCAACATCATAATTTCCGAAATGCATATTTTCTGCTATTGAATCGGGAGTTTGTCCAAAATTTGATTGAAGGTACTCAACAATTTCATAGTGTCGATAATTCAATGCTTTATTAATCATGTTATCAAATGATTTACCTTCTTCTATCATTTGCATAAAAATGTTTTGATTTCCGCCTTGAACAGCATATTTTTCAGAGTAATCAGTGTATTGAGCTCCTAAATTTTTCAAGTAATTGAAACATAATTCTGAGTTGAATTTAGAATCTATTCGCTCATTAATATCAAGATTTGGGAATTTACATTTAAGATCATCAACTTTATCCCATGCAATATAGTATAAAGGAGAATCTGTTGAATATAAATTCAGAATTTCTTCTTCTTTTATTTTAGGTTTGAAGTTTTCAAATTTGAAGCCTTGATAATGTAGAAGTGTCGCCAATTTCTCATTATCTGGTTTATTGATGTATGAAAATGCGTTTGATATCTTTTGGTAAAGTTCTGAAAATAATTTAATTTCTTTATCACGAATTTGTGAAAAAACATCAATCAAACGAAGCGCCATTTGGATAGTTATTTTGTTGGTTGTTATTAATTCGATAATTTGCGAAGATAATTGTATAATATTATTGGAATTGATGGCCCAAATAATTTTTGATGCTTGATCTGGGTATTCGAATACCTTAATTGACTTAAGGTCACTGTAATTGCACCAATTTTCTTTTTTTGGCTGCTGTGAACTTGTCATGCTTTTTTAAAAAAAATTTTGTATGTGACACTTTTTGTCTTAAAAATATGAGTTAGAGAGAAAGAATTTTGAATTATTGATGTTTTCGAGCAATGATTCCACATGAAAGCTTATTAAAATTTGTTCTGTGTATAACACCTCATTAAACTACAAATGTAAACAATTTACAAATGCAATCAGCGTAATAAAAACAGATTAGAATGATTTATAGATGATTGTATTGTTAAATTCGAAAAATTGAGAGTATATTAACAAAGAGAATCATGACATATATCTTGAGTTAATAATAGGGTCAAAAAAAGTGCGAAAATGAAAAACCGCTGTTTGAGTACTTTCTGAGACTTTGTTTGTCAGAAAGTATACATTCGTAAACTTTCAAAGTTTTTGACTCTGAAGGTTTTTGGTTAGATTTTAAAAGATATTGCAACGTATATTTCACATATGATGTAAAATAATAAAATAATGACGATTAACTTTTACAAATTTGATAACTTTACAAATTAAAAGTATCTGTGATGAATTCGTATGATTGTTGCTACTATTTCCATTACAAAAATCCGGAATCTTTTGGGCAGACAAATATTGATGAATACATCAATGATAAAGAGCTCATATCGTACTTATCGCTGAAGGACGTCTTTAAGATGCTCGACAAAGTAAAGCTAAATCCGTCACAGTATTCTGCTTTTCTTCTCAATTTATCGAATCGTTTCGGCAGAGATGATATGTTATATATACTTAATCATGCTCGCACAACAGAATTCAAAAATCGAACTGAAGCGCGTATAGTTTCCGATACAATTTCTACAATTCTTGGTATTAATACAATTCAAAACCTGTTTTCATATTATATGGAAACCTCAAAAGATCTTGAATACAAAATCAGATTCAGGATTACCGAAGAAAAGTATCATAATTTCATTATTAAACCAGAAACTACCGCTCTTGATCTTAAACGCATGATCTCCAAAGAATTAGGTATTGATCTCAGTCAAAAAGATATATATTTTGCGGGACATATTCTTCGTGACGAAAAAAATTTAACAAAAAAAGGTGTCAAACCCGGATCATGGCTTGATTTAATCGAATACCTTATAAACCCTACAAATTCAAAGATTTGCCATATCTTCATCAAAACATTGACTGGAAGGCATATTACTCTCAAGGTGAGATTATGCATTGATATTTTAGGTGTAAAGAGACTTATTCATGGCGTAGAAGGAATTCCACCAGATCAGCAGCGCTTAATATTTGCAGGAAAGCAACTTGAAGATGGAAATGCACTTGAAGATTACAGTATTCAACAAGATTCAACATTACATTTAGTTTTAAGATTGCGCGGAGGAAAACCAGTTATTTATTTGTATCCTGAAGAAGAAACAGATGTCAAAGTAAGTATTGATACAAAAGATGTTGAATTTCCATTTGTTTATCCATCATTTGATCATGATCATACATGGGAAGTTCGTGCATTTCCAAATGGAGACATTGTACATAAAGATCGTCATTATCCATCTCTCTTCTGGGAAACTCTTTTCTATCCAACATTTGATAGTGATGAAGGATTTGTTATTGAAGGTCGTAATGTTGTTTCTTTCTTTGAAGAAAAACTTCGTCAAATTAATCTTTCTGATCATGAAATCTTCGACTTCGTTACATTCTGGTGTCCTAAACTCGTTGACATGAAATATATCAAGATAACATTCCACTTCTCTGACTACTCCGAACAGTTCCCTCTCTCTATTTCACCTGCTCCGAAAAACATCAACCGTCTTTTCTTCTGCGCTACTCCTCTTTCATCACCTATTGATATTCCTGCTCCAACACTCCCTGTCTTTGCACGTGATGGTTTCACCGTTATCGAATGGGGCGGTACCATCGTAAGTGAGGATGACAGAGCAATTCTCAAATGAAAATAAAAAAAATTGACAATTTTTCAAATTTTCAATGAGTTGCTTTAAAAAGGATATTGATTAATACTTGTGCAGGTCAAATGGTTCTATATCTAGAATTTAAAGTCTGTTTTAGCTTTATTCTGGCTTATGATAATTTTGTCTAAAAATTGGAATTTTGAAATTCAATTTCCAACATATCATGTGAATATATTGTTTGATAAAATCTTCTCTTATTATTACCTCATTTTTTGTGATTCGGAAACAGCTTATCCCCTTTCATCTCGTTGGATTTGAAGAATATGTAAGTGATTAAGGATTTGACAAGAAATTGAATTGAAAATTTAATATGATAATAGAAATATGGTATGATAATAGATAATTTTATTTCCTCAAAACGATTATTTTTTTAGCATGGAACGGTTTTGGTCAAGCCTTTCTAGATGAGATATATTTCCGCATATCTTCTTTCTGTTGCTGCAGGAAACCAGAAGCCAACAGCTGACCAAGTCAAGAAGATTCTTGAAGCTGCTGGCGTTGATATTGATGCCGCTCAACTTGAACAAGTTGTCACAAAGATGAACGAAAAGGCAGTCGAAGAACTCGTTGAAACAGGCAAGAACGAGATGGGTAAGGTTGCTGGTGCTGCCCCAGCTGCTAGTGCTGCTGCTCCAGCTGCCGCTGCTGAAGTTCCAAAGGAGGAAGCTAAGGAGGAAGAAGCTCCAATGCCAATTGGTCTTGACGATATGTTCGACTTTTAAAAACTATACAATACCATATTTTGCAATAAACATACATTTCAGTATGATAATAAAACATTTCGTCAAATATATTACTAAAAAGCTAAAAAATTCAACAAGGCAGCTAGAAATAGATTACGCAGTCAATGAAAACTCATTATTAGAATGTTTTTTAAATATTATTTGATATCATTTATATTTCTCATTTGGAACTCAAAAATTCCAGTATTTAGCTCTATTTTATGTTAGATTCTTGAATTATAAATGAATGTATTTTGAAATCAAATTTTTAAAGTGTAAAATAAGTAATAAAATGTAATAAGCTATGGCAACCGATTCAAAATACTCGTGTTGTTATAGAGTAAGAAGCATATCATCTAAAATATAAGCAGGGCAAAATTATATTTTAAATTCCGTAGCATGTAATTGCAATGTGTGCTTATTTTACCATGTGTATACGCTAAATTTGGATTTACATAGTTAAATTCTTCTTAATACTTCGAAATATATTTTAATAATGAACAATTCCAAAGTATAATAGATGATCGAATATATTGATTGTCGTGTTTGTAATGTTTTCTAGCAAATGAGATCGCTGAAATAACTCTTTCTAGTTCACATAAGCATAAATTTCGTTAAATTCATTCAAAATTTTGTGCTCATTAAAAAATAACGTACATATTTTTCGAATAATAAATGAAACAATCACAGTCAGGATCCTCATTATTTTCAATTAATGTTCAAGATGATATCATACAAGACCTTTTCAAGCACATGAAAGATGAAATTGATTCATTAAAGTATCGCGTTTCGTATTTAACAGATGAATTAAACTCAAGACCATCAGTTGAAGACTTCAGAAAGTTATCACAAGCTGTAAAAGAACTTCAAGATACAAATAAAACATACGAAAATTACATGACTCAAACGATTGATTCAGCAAAAACTGAATTAGGAAAAATGATTGAAGGTGGTAAAAAAGATGTTAAATCTCAGATGGAAGAAACTACATTATCAATAAATCAAGTCATTCGTGCGCAAAATACATTGATGGATAAAAAGGTATTTGATATGACAAGGCCAACATTCGAATTTAATGAAATGAAGCGTTCAGTAACAGTAATTAACGAGCAAAATGCAGTAATAGAGAAGAAACTGGACAAAATTTTTACTTGGATTGCTGGCTTCATTAATGAAGCGTTTCCAGACAATGGACGTTGTAGAATAACTCTTGAAAAGATCTTTGAATCCCATATATTACCAATAAATAATCGCATTGATGAATTAGAGACAAAAATTAATGATGGACTTACAAGAATTGGAAAACTCGAAACAACATTCTATAGAATATCTGATCTCACTAAAGCGCAACTTCCAACTTATGAGTCTGTTAAAAAAGTTCCATTTTCTTCTCATCCAAAATTACCTAAATTAACTAAGGTTAGATCATTTACAGATTACTTTAACTATCTCATGCAAGTTGTACCTACAGCTCAAATGATTTTCAAACTATTCTACGAAGAAGTAGAAATTTTGAAGAAAGCTGTAGGCGAATCAACAATAGAGGAGTTAGAAAGAAAGAGAGAGCAAGAAGAAAATGAAATGGCAAACTTTGTTAAATATGAAGAACTTGAAGGTGTTAAACAACAATTATCTCAGATGCAATTCTCTGCAATAAATAAAGATGATCTCAAAGTTGTCCAAGAAGATATAAGGAATATTAGAGATACAACAATTAATAAAGATGAATTTGAAGCTACTGTTGATAGAATGAATTTCAATATTAATAAAGTTGATCAAAAGGCTTCAGAAGGTATTCAGAAATTAGAATTATCTCTTGTTGAAGCTAAAATGAATATTCCTTCATCTCCTGCTTATACGGAAGTTAAGCCAAAAGGACAAACAAGTTTCAAGATCATTTTTGGAGATTCAAACAATGGAAATGTCACCTCGCGAAGTGTTATGTCTCGGAAGAGTGAAGACCCTAGAGTGATGTTACCAGGAATACAGCAGAAAAGGCCAGTTACGGGAATATTATCTTCAAGATCTTCTCAATCTATGAAAAATCCACACTAGCTTTATTTGTGTTTGTGTTTTTTATTGTTTTGTTAAAATGTTTTATTCGTACTTTTTATTGCTTTATCATACTTTATCATTCATTACCGTATACAAAAAGGTCCAAGGAATTAAAATCTGTCCAAGGAATGTATTCAAATCATGGTCGGTACATCAAAAATTGAGATTGAGACTTTTATTCTAGATAGAAATCATAGGCTTATATTACTTATTTCTACTAAATATAAGTGTTCGATGAATTTTCATGTTTAAATTGTTGAATGCATCATGTCATTGTATTAATATCTTTATTATGGACTTATGATCATACAGAAATTTCTAGAAAACTATCTGATTCTTTAGACACTCCAATTCTTGCTGCATTTGTTTTGCCAAAAGGTTCAGTCTCTCAAAAAATAAATCATACATTTTCAATACTTTCGGAAATCTTAGATCCATTTATAAATGTTATTTATACAGTTGTCGATTGCTCCTACTCGCGGTTCTGTTTAACCCATGGCATCGGTCATTATCCAACAATTTGCCTTTTAAGAACATTTTCGCGCAAATATTGGAAATGCACTGACGAAACTGATATCTCTGGTGTATCGAACTTTTTAAAATACGAACTTACACCTAATATCAAAACTTCTTCGTTTTATTCTTCAGAAATTCGTGAAAAACTCCTAAGTGGAGGCACTTTATTTTCACTTAGTGCTAATGATCAATCTGATCGAACTTTTGAGGCTGTTAAACGTGCTGCAATTAAATATAAACCCTTTGACGTTTTATTTTTATTGAGTACGTCATATTATGATGGAAAAAGCATCACTGCGCATTTTTCAACTAAATGCCAAACTTCTGCTTCTCTACAGTCAATTTATATTGATGAATTTGTCAGATTTAATTCATTTAGTGTATATCATCAATACACGTATGAAGAATTTAATAGTGGAGGAAATTATATAATATATGCAGGATACGAAAACAGATTTAGAGATAAAAACAAAATGATTGACCAAATAGTAGAATTAGTCCCATGCGATTTTCCTGGAAAGATTGGATTTGCTTCTCTTTCTTCAGAACGATGGATTGCAGAAATAACAGGAAAATATAATTCGATTGATCCTTTTGTTGTTGGGATCAATGTGGACAAAAAGTGCTTTATTCATATAAAAAATATATCGCAACTTAATGACTCCGAATTTTATATCGATTTGATGGTATGCGAGAAATCTAAAAAAATCTTACCGCGATCTCCTTACAAAGGTATTAGAAACGATGCTATGTTTCTAGTATTTCTAGGAATCATAGTTATCAGTAGTTTTATTCTTTTAATTTTCAATATGAAATTTAATAGCCGCAGTACAAGAAAGAACAAATAAGTTTGTTTATAAATTGTTTGTAAATATTAATTATCATGTAAAATTATAAAATTTTATTGAAAAATTATTTAAACAAAAATATAAGATATAAAGGAAATGGGACTTATTCTCCATCATCGATCTTAAGGTCATCAGGAAATTTATCATGAACGTTGTCATTAAATTCATCTTTGAATTCTTTCAAAGAAGCCATTATTTCTTCCAATTTTCTTCCATCTGCCATATCACTTGGAACAGCGGCATCTTCAGGAGGCTGAACATTTAAATCTGTTGTGAGTCTAACTTCTGTTTGGGCCAAAAGTTCGAGTTCTGACCAGCTGTAGAGGAGAGGAGATGTAACATCAGTCCATGGAGCAATGTCAATGACATGTGGCCTCATCTTGGGGCTGATATAAAAATCAATAATAATTCTATATGGATGTATCTTCTGGGAAATGAGATTTACCATTGTTTGGGCACCTTCTCTGACTTCTTCCTGAGTAAGATAGTAAGGAACGCTAATATTACGTGATGATACAAAGAAATGTTCAGAATCGCGCATGAAGATCCTAAATTCTCTATTGACTTTGTAATTGAACCATTTCTTAAGAACAATTATTGGCTTGATTTCAACATTTTGGACATTGAATGGGCATGTAATATCAATAAGCATTCTTGTTGATGCTTTAAAGACGTAAACGAGATCCTTGAACGATCTGACTTCAATTGATTTGCCAAAACCTATCCAATTAGAATCGGTCGGAGCAGTAAAGTTTAATTTGGGGAAAGCAACGCCACCAAGTTCATCAATAGCATCATTAACACGCTTTTCCAAATCCTTGAACTTTCCATCTTCAATTATGAATTCATGGAATAATAAAAATTCTTTAAAATCATCAGGAAGTTCAATTATTTTTGATCTTATAGTATCATCTCTGAGTATTGGATACCATTTATCAAAGGAACACTTCTGGATTATCTCTTCCATACAATAAAAATTTGTCTCTTTGAATTTGTGATTATTCAATATTTGAAATGTTTACGATAAAATGTGATGGTAAATTACAATTGTAATGCTCATCTCTATGAGATATACATTAGATACTATGGTTGTCACTGAAGAATCAAAAAATCACAAATTATTTGTGATGAATCTCTAAAAAAAATCCAAAAAAGTGGTGTCAAAAATATTTTCATAATGTTTAAATTCATAACTCGCCCATTGCAATACAATGAGTTTATTGATCTGTTTGGGAGTTACATCGATGCGTTTAATGCACTGTTTCAGCTTAAAACTAGAAAAGAAGAGGAGATCGCCAAGCTTTTCAAATTGATTAAGACAAATTTGTTTGATAAACAGATTTTACATCCTGAAGAAATTATTAGATGCATATCGGGCATGATGTTTTATAATATTGGTTATCTAAAATCATATTTACTACTTTCAAAAATGATTTGCGAAGAATATAACGTAAAACAAGTTCAAGGTGTTTCATCCATATTTAATTTTTTGTTTAACGAAGAATATGGATTAGTTTTAGATAATGATGGTATATGGGAATTTGTGTATTTACAAGATTCATTAAATCATCATATTTTAGAAAAATACACGATAAACAGAGCAATTTTATATGATGACATAAAATCATTTATAGCAATAACTCAAAGTCAAGGATTCGACAAAGCACAAAGTCTTACACCTAACGTTATTAAATACCACAGAAGAGATTGGCATTATAATAGTTTATATCCTATTTCATTAAATGTATATTCTTTACTTGAATTATGTTGTTATCATGGAGCTGTTGATTGTTTCAAGTTTCTACGCACAGAATTCAAATCTGAAATCACTCAAGTTTGTCTTGAATTATCATTTTTAGGTGGAAATCCAGAAATCATGAATGAATGCTTGAAAAAAATACAGCCTAATGATCGGTGCATGAAAAATGCAATCATTTCTCACAATATCGATTTTGTCACATTTTTGATGAATGAATACTCAATAGAAATCAATTTAGAAGATTGTGTTAAATACAAAAATCTTCAGGCCTTTTTTATATATTTAGAAAAAACAAAAGATATTGGAAGCTGCTTTGCTAATTCGCCTTTGTTCAATGATCTAGATCTCTGTAAATATTTGCTTAAACATAGAGCAAAAATCAGTTCAAAAGATAAATACGGAGAAACGGTACTTCACTCTGCAGCAAGAAGTCGAAATATCGAGATAATGAATTTTATCGTATTGAAGGGTTTTGATGTTAACGCAACTAATAATCTTGGAGAATCCGCTCTCCACATAGCATCAAAAATTAACTGTAAAGAAATTGCCGAATTTCTAATTTCAAATGGTTCAAAGATTAATGCAAAAGATAATGATAATAAAATGCCGCTTCATCACGCTGCAACTTGTTATAATGCAAATAAAGATTTGGTAGAGTTTCTTATCTTACATGGTGCTGATATCAATTCAAGAGATAATCAATATAGATTACCTCTTCATTATGCATCAATTCATCACTCACTTAAAATAGTGGAACTTCTTATTACACGCGGAGTTGATATAATTGCACAAGATTGCTATAATAAATCTGCTATGCATTATGCAATTGAAAATGATAATGAAGAAATAGTGGAACTCTTGCTTCCATATGTAGCTGATATAACTTTGGCAAATAATGGGAAAAAAAGTATTCTGCAATTTGCAATTGAAAGCAATAATGTAAAAATTGTAGAATTTTTTGCTACACATGGTGTTGATATCAAAATAAAAGATAACAAAAATAAAACTGTTCTTCATCATGCAGTTATTAATGATCTAAAAGAAATGGTTAATTATTTAATATCGCTCGGTGTTGAAGTCAATGCAAAAGATAATGATAATAAATCTGCACTTTATTATACAATTGCAAACAGTAATACGGAAATAGTAGATCTTTTAATTTCAAATGGTGCTGATGTCAATGCAAAAGATAGTCAAAATAAAACCATTCTTCATTATGCTACTAGAATTCATAATAAAGAAATAATAGAGCTTCTAATTTCAAATGGTGCTGAAATTAAATTCATGGATGATGAAAATAAATCTTTTCTTCATTATGCAGTTGAAAACGATAATTGGGTAATAATAGAGCCTCTAATTTCACATGGTATTGATGTCAATGCAAAAGATAATGACAATAAAACGGCCATTCATTATGCAATTGAAAACGATCAAGACCTTATAGTTAGACTTTTAGTTTCAAATGGTGCTGATTTAAATTCAAAAGATAATGAAAATAAAACTATTCTTCACTATGCAATTGAAAAAATGAGAGAAGAAATAGTAGAATTTTTAATTTCAAATGGTGCTGATGTCAATGTAAAAGATAATGAAAATAAAACCATTCTTCATTATGCAGTTGAATATGATGTTGGAGAATTAGTAGATTATTTTGTTCAACTTGGTATTGATATAAATTCCAAAGATAAAAATGGTCAAACGGCTTTATATTTTGCAGTTGTTAAAGAATTACCTGAAATGGTAGAGCTTTTAGTATTACTTGGTGCAGATATCGATGCAAAAGAAAATAAATTTGGAAGCACGGCACTTCATTATGCAGTGATTAATGAATTGGATATTATGATAAATAACCTAATTTTGAGTGGTGCAGATGTGAATGCAAAAGATGATATTTTAGGGAATACACCACTTCATTATGCGGTACTTATTGATAATCCATATTTGGTAAAACAATTAATAGACCAAGTTCAGGTAGATATAAATGCAAAAAATAAAAATGGTCAAACCCCCCTTCATCTTGCAGTCTCTAAAAACAAGAAATCGATGGTAAACATTTTGGCATCTAATGGTGCGGATATTAACTCAAAAGACAACGAAAATAAAACTCCTCTTCATTATGCTGCCCAATTATATAATAAGAAAATGATTTACGAACTCCTGAAATTTGATGCAGATGTTGAAGCAAAAGATATCAATGGAAATACTCCACTTCTTTATTTGGAAAGATTGAACCATGATACTAAGCAATCAAAAGGCAGTTTTTTCAGTAATTCGTTTTTTTAAACATATTATAATTTATCATTTTTGAAATTAGAATTTTACTTCAATAATTCAGCTTGCTGTATTATCATGGGATATGTACAAGATGAATTGATGATATATTATGAAGAATAAATAATGTCAAGCTTTTCAATAAAATTTATTTTGTGCTGAAGATTCGCAAGACTTTTAAAAACAAAATGTTCAGTAAAATATTCAATAGTGTTGAAGGAAAATCTAACAAAATAGTTTAACAAGAAAAATATTCTTCATAAATACTGTCTCTTCTTTTTGGAATGAGAATGATACGAAGTACATTCGTTTGGATTTGAATATAATGAACTAAGCCTATCCGCTTGTTTGGTTATTTGGTTTACAATAGAAATCAAATCATCAATTTTTTCTGTGTGTTTTTTGAGTTCTGGATCAGATGTTTCGGATTCAGTATCGCTACTTTCTGATTTCTCATTCTTTTCATCAGGATCTAATAGATCTTGAAGTCGTCTGATTTCTTCATTCTGTCTAACAAGAAGATTACGATCTTGCGATAACTTACGATGAATTCTATCTGATTCTGCTAACATCTTTTCAATCTCCTTGCAAAGATGTCCTTCTTGGGCATCTAATAATTGACAAGATGAAATATAGTCTGTATTAGAAGGTTCTTTTGGTTTGTTTGAATTCTTCATAAGGGAATTGAGCTTCTTCTCAATTAAATTGTCTTTAACACCAAGTATTTCAGCAATATTATTAATTCTTTCATTGAATGAATTAATTTGGCTATCTTTGTCTTTTATGTTTTCGAGATTTTGTCCTTGGATTCGAGAAATATCCGATTTAAACTGAAAATTCTCCATTGTTAATGCCGTTATTTGTCCAATTAAGAAATCAAAAAACGTTGTAAGTTTCCTCGGAGTTGATTTTATATTAATGATTTCCTTTAATATTTTTATTTGATCCTCATCAGATGGAATAGTTATTGCAAGCATTTGGCGAACTCTTGAATCCAAAATTGATTGGAATACGTTTTCACCATACCCTGGAAATTCGTTTGATGAATATTGTGAGCTTTTAGACATATTAGAACTTCGCCTCGTTGACATTTAAATAATAAACGTACACCTATAAATTATGCAAACTATGTTTATACTTCTTATCTTGAAATTTGGTGAATGATTGAGGGCAACAAACAAGTTTTTGAGTTGCGTATGCCATGAGTCTATTTAAAAATCAAATAGAAAAATAGAAATCTACTCAAGAGTATAATCAAAGCAGAACTTATCAAATAATGTTGGACATGGTTATAGATAATGTATTTTGAATATAGGAAATCAGATGCAGACTTATTGGAGAATTTGAAAAGTTATTCGGCATAAAATCGACTTCAATTATTGAAGATATACGCTATTGAATTTGATAAAATTAATTTATTATAGCCTATTTCTATTCTTTGTGCACAAAAAAATGGGAAGCAATAAACCATTTCAATTTTTACGATAAGAATTGAATGGAAATAAAATTCAACATTTAATTAATTTAATAATATTATATTAATACAATCATTTATTTAAAACTAACGATAAAATTCTGGCAAATGATTGTCATTTGAGACAAAACCCCTTTCGTCGAAATTAGAATCGATAGTTAAATATATGTAGAATATAATATCTAATTTTTATGACCACACCTTCTCACAATGATTTGAATTGGAATTCAAAAAATCGAATAAATGGATCGCTCTATCAAGTATTCGAAGTATACGGACTCAGCAAAACTTTTAGGAAGCAAGACAGAGACTGGGGTCAGACTTCTAAGATCCATGGTGAAAAATAGAGAACAATTCGGAAAGCCAGATATCAATTTTGATGTATGGAAATACGATTACATTGTTCCATGGAATACCTTATTTGATATATTCATCGTATTGCTCTATGTATTATTTGCACTTACATTTCAGTCCACAAAAATGTCGAATTTTCATAATTTCGGTCTTATTTTCGATAATTACTTTCTTGGCGAGACAGATGAGGATGATGATGGGCTAACATATATTTATTTCAAAAAAACTTTCATCGAAATAGTTCAAAATGTTTCACAAAGTTTTTTTACATTTGTTGACTCATTTCCATCTCAATTAGACTTTGAAAGAAGTTCAAATTTAACGGTTTCGCTTTACGAAACAGGCAAAAATGTTCAAACATTCGATTATTCGCCTGAAAACGTCACAAATATATCATCTGTGGCTACTCGCGCTGCCAATTCCAAACAATTTGAAAAATTAGTTTTGGATGTTGACTATGTTATCAAAGAAATTACGTCAGATTCAATGATGACTTTTATTACAGTTAAATATTCTATGATTTTTCTGGATGTAGATCAACTTGGTGTTATTGAATTACGCTCTAAGCTTAAAAATACAGTAACAAAGCTTATTGGAACAAATCCAATTGATTATGCATTTAGGACAGAAATCTTTGCTGTAGGCATTTTTATTGTTGATACTTTTGCATTGTTGTTTACGATTTCTCGTTTTATTGTATTTTTCAAAAATGCTTCCGTTTATTCCACGAGAAACTACTTAACTTTTTACAGAGCTGTTCTTCGTAAGGTTGATGGATGGGAAATTTTCAATCTCTTCTATCAATCATTAACTCTTATCACTATATTGATATATTTATTAATTTTAGATCCAAATTTTGGATATCAAAGATGGCTTTTATTCTTATTAGGTGTAGCAGCATTTATCCATTCTTTCGGATTGTTCAGATACCTGAAAATGAAAGATGATTTGTGGCTCGTCGCAAGATTGGCAGTTCGATCATTGGGACAATCATCATCATTGTTTTTAGGATTTACTCCTATCTATTTAGGTTTTGTTTTCGTAGGAATTGCCTTCTTTGGATATTTTTGCAATGTATTCAAAGGATTTTTAAGAACAATCAAGGTTCTTTTCTCTATATTCCATTGTGATATTGTTATGGATACCGAAGAACTGGTGAAAGATGCTGGAGTTCTTCCTGATTGGATTATTAACTTTTATATCTTCGCTTGGACGAATATGACTGGTGGAATGATTATTAATGTCATTATTTCAGTTGTTGAAGTCACATTGGATTCTCTTATGACTGAAAGAGCGAATAAGCAAAATCGTCGAAACGAATAAGTAATATAAATGATATGTTTTGTATTTAGAGTTGGAAAAAAAATAAATTTTTTAAAAAATTTATCTGAACATTTTCCTGTGCTGGTTCAGTGGCTTTCCTGGATTCTTTTCTGCTGTATCCTTGTTCTTTTGTCTGATCTGTTGTGAGATTTCTTTCATCCTCTGGCGTTTGGCCTGTGGATCCATCTTTTGTTTCTCTTCTTCAGCCTGTAAATCCTCTTCTGTAATACGTAATGAACGAGATTTGATGGAAATTGTTTCGACTGTACGCATAGCTTCTTCTTGTTTTCTGATTTCTTCTTCTCTCTTCTTTTCGCGTTCTTCTTTCTTCCTGATAAGTTCTTGGGCACGAGCAGCTCCATAAACTTGCTTGGCCTTAAGTTCTTCCTGTTGCATCTTCTTCTTATATTCAATTTCTGACTTGATTTCAGCCTGGAACTGGCGAACGGATTGTTCTTTAGCCTTCCTCTTCCTCTCAAGATCAGCGTGTCTTCTCTCTGCTTGTCTTTGCTGGCGCTTGACAGTATTTTCTGCGAGACGCTTTGCCATTTCGAATTCTTGTGTTGTTCCGGAAGATGTACGTGAAGCAAGACGAGTTCCGATCTGGATTGTATCTTCTGTAACATTATCAAATGACTCTTGCATCTTGACTTCCTTTTGATCAAGCTCATTGAGGATTGTTTCACGAGCTTCTAAGTCAGCTTGGTGAACTTCTCTAAGTAAGTAGTCATTCAATGATTCTTCAAAGTCTGGCAAATTTTCGGTGTATTCAGCATCTGGATCATTGCAAGATGTGCATGGGTATGGAGAAATCTGTGGATCGAAGAGATAGCCGAAGATGCAGCATGCACGGCGCATGAAATCGGCATCTGGAGACAAACTTTCGTTGCTCATTTTTTGAAAGGTGACAAATGTAAAATGTAAATTTTTCAGAAATGTAAGCATTAACCTGATTATGAAAATCAAATATCCATCATAAGGAAGTCAATTTGGAAAATTGTTTTCACTTTTGGAGAATATAATTTTCCATTTGGAAAATTTAAAAAGTGAGACGCGCAGGATTCATGGAAAAGTTCTTCTCTCCAAATTTTTTTTCAAAATCAAAAAAATGAGATAAAAAAGTACGTTTGGAAAATTCATTTTTAGCATTTTAGGAATTTTCTCACTTTTCTTCCAAATTGACATCCTTATCCATCATGCTACATTATTATTTTCATGGAAAATGTTCGGAGATCAGGAATGTTTAATGTATTCAAATTGAAACCATTCAGATTTATTCTATATCAATAGTTATTTCATCATACCTTAAGTTAATTGGACCAATTTTTATTTGCCTGTTCAATAAAACCAATTTATCAAAATTGTTCAATATCTTTCAATAACAGTTTAAACTCATTAATGAAAATTTCTAAAGAATTCCATCGACAGGTTATCTTTTTGGAACTCATTTGCTAAATCCTAATTGAAAATTTTAAAATCCCAGGGCTTTTTTCATTGAGTAACACTTTGTAAAAGACATTAACATGTAATTCAGAGATTTCTTAATATTATTAACGAAGATTGGATACCCTTACATTGCGTAGTTAGAAAGAGAATATGATATTGTCATGATTGCTAAAGTTTTAGGCTCCAGAAATGAATATACATCAAACTGAAACAATTGATAAATTGAATGAACTTTTGAGAGGTTCTCAAATAAAAAAAATTATCTAATTTTTTACAATATTACTATTATTTTATCCATATATGTATATATAGTAATTTGAGAAAACTTTTAGGAAAAAATAAGTTTAATAAAAATCTGAATTTTACTTGTTGTGGGATTGTTATTAATTGACACTCCAGACGTATTACTAATAGTTATGCGTATGCAATTAAAGTATTTCTGATGGACAAAATGTGAGATTGAGTAGGGGTAATTTTAGCTAAAAGTGACACGCCTGTAAAAAGCGACACACCCGTGAAGGGTGTGATTACCGATCGGTAATTTCGACAGTTTAGAATTTAAAATTTTTTATGGAACTGTTGCGAGTTTCATAAAGAATTTAAGGAATATAAGCAAAGATTTGAATCAAAATCTTAGACCTAAGCCGCTCGAGTCGCTCGCGGCTTCCGCGAATTACAGATCAGCAAAGATTTGAATCAAAATCTTCGAACTAAGCCGATCGCTTCGCTCGCGGCTTTCTTTATTATTTTAAATTTGCATATTTCCATCAAAAGTTCATAAGGTAAAAAATTTCGTTTATATTATTGCAAAATAAAATCTTCATTATCAAAATAATATTAAATAATAATATAATATAATTTATAAACAACTATTATTTAATAAAGTTTAATTGCCAAGGTTCATCTAATTTTTTGATTTTTAATGTTTTATGAATTTTATTTATCATGTATATATCTAATGAAGATTATATATGTAGAAGATAAGTACCTTAATATGTACGTAAATTTTAATGAAATTTATACAACATTATAAAAATTTATGAATAAAAACTTGATATAAAATAACATTTTTATTTTTACTAAGAAAAAAAAGGTTTTTGATAATAAATTTATTTTATTTCGAAAAAGTAGCAATAATCGTAAAAGGGTATTGATAGGCTTGCTAAAGTAACTAATTTTAGCTGTCAAATACTTTTGTATTTTGAAATAAATTAGTATAAATTTGTTTTTACTTTTATTTCGAAAAAGTAGCAATAATCGTAAAAGGGTATTGATAGGCTTGCTAAAGTAACTAATTTTAGCTGTCAAATACTTTTGTATTTTGAAATAAATTAGTATAAATTTGTTTTTACTTTTATTTCGAAAAAGTAACAATAATCGTAAAAGGGTATTGATAGGCTTGCTAAAGTAACTAATTTTAGCTGTCAAATACTTTTGTATTTTGAAGTAAATTAGTATAAATTTGATATTATTTTAACTCCCTTTGAAAACCTCAATTTTCCATACAGAGGGAACGGGAATAGCATCCAATATTCCCTGAGAATGGTTGCGCATTCTCAGTTCCCTCTATATTTCGAACGAAGCTCTCATCGGTCTTTTTTTTAATACTAAACGTTTTTTTTTTCCTGTCACTTTTAGCTAAAATTTGGGTTTGCCATGTGAGATTTATATCAGATAATTCATTTCTACTATTAAGTTATTCATTTATGAGTTTGCACTTATTATTCATAAAAGATTAATGAAATGGTAAAAAAAAATCAATCAAATTATAAAAATACAACATATGGTTTTTTATGGTTGTCTCATAATAGCATTTCATGAGAAAAAATATAATACTATTTATTTTTGCATAGTTCAATTTTTTTAAATAATGCAAGATATCCCGCCATTAGTTTTCATGAAATAATCCAAAAATCAGCATACACTTGAGAACATAGCAGATCTACATGTTTTCGCTATTTATTTTCCAATAATATGAGGGGTTCACGGGATAAAGCTTCATTAAGCATAATTGATTACAATATCATCATATATATACCGAACATATAACAAATGGGATATTTGTATACTAAAATAAAAAAGGAGCAAATTATATAATTTTTGTCATGCTACTTATAGGTTCAAAAATCTTATAATATAAAAATATTTTCAAATACAAAGAAAATATGTGTTTATTTCAAATTTGAAAATTAGATATCTTGTGGGGTCCACTTTCCTCCTCTGTAATCACCTGTAGGGTTATCCTTAGGAAATCTTTTTGCATTTCTTGCCTTGTTGATCTCTTTTCTTGTTTCTGGTGTAGCTTTCTTTTGATTTCTGGATTTATTTTTCTCATATTCAAGTTTTTGGAGTTCGCGGATTGAAGGAGATATTTGGTAATTATTGACACGATTGTATATTTCTTGTTTGCATTTCTCTCCTTCGTTTTTTTGTAAAATTGTAACAGCCGTACGCATTTGTTGTGCATGAAAAATAGCGTGACTTCACTTTTGACAAAAGTGACACTATTTCTGATGGTTTTGTCATTTATTTGTCAGATTTATAAATGGATAATAATGCTGTAAATCAGATATTAATTAAAAATATTTAAGATTTATGTTCGAATTGAAAAGCAAAATGATATTTTTTTAATTGAAAAACGTTAATATCTGATATTTTGAAGTTTTTAATATTTGTTAGTATCTTAAATTATTGAATGCATACGTTTTTTATGTTCTCAATTTTAAAAAAATTGTGAAGAATTTAGTTTTTTGGAGATGGATGTTTAATATTTGTGAGTGAGAATGCAAGCAGGAGTTTGGTACTTTAAGGCTAGGTTGAGATAGATTTCCCATTATATTATCTGTGAATATATTGTTTGAAAATTCAAGATATAAAAAAATATTATCAAAAAATTTTATATTTTTAAATACAATAGGGTGGAAATATAGTACGATGAGATAGCAATGATATATTTTATAATGGGAGGTAATCTGAAGATAAGTAGCAAATTTTTGCGATTTTGATTGGGAGTTGGAGGGTGTGAGTACTATAGCATGTAATAGTATCTCACACCCTCCAATTCTTCCTATGGCGCCGAAAATTTTTGGTGAAATGCGACGACATTTCACCAAAAATTTTCGGCGCCATATAGAGAACTATAGTCTGCGAGGTACTGATTTTATCTATGTACCTCGCAGACCATAGTTCTCAGCCAAAATGGCTAATAATTTGAGAGTCTATATGATAATGTAAAAGTTAAAACATTCAAGTATTTAAGTATTTCTTTAAAATATTAAGTTTTTTATTTTTCCAATAAAATTCTAATATCAAATATTTTTATTTAACGATTAATTTTATTTATATTTTTATAGTTTTTTTTAAGAAAAATATTGTTAGGGTTTTATGGATTTTCAATTAATATACAAGATAATTCATGAATGTATATATTTCCAAGTTTTTAAGGATGCAACACTTTACATTTGTAAACTGTCAAAAATGAAGTCACGCTATTTTTCATGCATTACAGGTTTTGTAAGTGGCTGAAACACAGGATATTCTTTGTTGTTGTAAGACGAGTTACGGAAAGTGAGGTGAACCGAAAAAGTGACACTTATTTGGTCGGATAAATTCCCTATATATTTACTTGTCAAAAAAAATCAGACTTTTTTTGCTTTAAAAAATTTATAAGTTAATTATTGAGAACGAAGGTGAAAGGAAATGGATATCTCTTACCTTTCATTCCCTCGAGAAAGTTCAAAAACTTGGGTGCAATCAGTTCTGATTGCACCCAAGTTTTTGAACTTTGTATAAGGAATTGTTGGCTATGATGTACTGATCATGAATCAGTACATCATAGCCAACAATTCCTTCGCAAACAGCGGGAAACTTTGTCTGAATAGTTTAACATTCAGACAAAGTTTCCCGCTGTCAGAGAGGGAATGGAAGGGTAAGAGGTATATATTCATAATGTATACCTCTTACCCTTTCATTCCCTCGAGAAAGTTCAAAAACTTGGGTGCAATCAGTTCTGATTGCACCCAAGTTTTTGAACTTTGTATAAGGAATTGTTGGCTATGATGTACTGATCATGAATCAGTACATCATAGCCAACAATTCCTTCGCAAACAGCGGGAAACTTTGTCTGAATAGTTTAACATTCAGACAAAGTTTCCCGCTGTCAGAGAGGGAATGGAAGGGTAAGAGGTATATATTCATAATGTATACCTCTTACCCTTTCATTCCCTCGAGAAAGTTCAAAAACTTGGGTGCAATCAGTTCTGATTGCACCCAAGTTTTTGAACTTTGTATAAGGAATTGTTGGCTATGATGCACTGATCATGAATCAGTACATCATAGCCAACAATTCCTTCGCAAACAGCGGGAAACTTTGTCTGAATAGTTTAACATTCAGACAAAGTTTCCCGCTGTCAGAGAGGGAATGGAAGGGTAAGAGGTATATATTCATA